CGAATACCTCTGTGGAAATCAACAAAGACACAAAGCACTGATTCTGGAGATCATTAATCTAAGAAGTAAACTTAAAAAAAAACCCCAGTAAAGTGTTGTATTTCTTCATGCATCTAGATTTTATTGCAAATATTTTATGAAATTGGAAAGTTTTTATTTGGGGGATTTAAAAAATACATTTCATGGTGTTAGCTGTTCTTCACCTAGCTCCCCCTCTAGCAATCTTTTGTTCCTTACTATCGCTACTTTTAGTTACCAGGAATTATGTTAAAAATAAACAAATAAACTCATTAGAATTATAGTGCTGTCACAGATATTTGAAGGACAAAGGTGGGAGGTAATTTGTGTTTTCTTCTTTGCAGCACAAGTTTATAAAGTTAATTACCACAATTCTGAAGAAAAGGTAAAAGAGGATCTAAATTTCCCATTTTGTTTACTTGACTTGTATTTAAAAGTTTCCAACTCTCTTCTCACTTTTCACTTCAGAGGTGCATTTTCAACTGTCTTTCAACTAAGTGCACTTTTCACGTCCCACAGGCAAATCAAAGGCAGTATGTTCAAAATCAGATTAATTATCTCTCCCCAATCTCTCCTCAACAGCTTCCCTCCCTTGTTCCACCCCCTTGCTCAAGCTCTTGCCTCTGACTTGGTTCTCCCCTGTTCCCTGTACATCTCCAGCCTCTCACGGTCCCACCGAGCTGCTGCCTTCCCCTGTTGTCTCTGAGGGAACCGTCACCTCCCACCAAGGTTACTGCAGTAAGTCTCCTTGGTCCATCTTCTCCACTTAACTTTCCACACTTCCCCCAGTTTGACATTTCTCAAATACCAGTCCGACTATATCTATAGCTGTTCAGTGGCGACCAACTCCTCTTAGCAATGCTTACCTCTTAATACTTACTTCTGAACCCCTTTCTGTTCCAAAATATGGCCATGCTCATTTTTGAAGAAATGAACATTATACCCCTCTTCTGAATAGACTTTCTCACCTGTGTCTGATGTGTACATTTTTTTTCTGGGAATGTTCCATGTGCTCTCAGCCTCAGTTAAGGACTCTCTTCAGGTACATATATACCCTGTCTGAGCACTTTTCATTCTGTGTTGCATTTAACTTGATTGTGTCATCCACCAATCAGAAAGTGCCAAAGACAGAGGCAGTGTTTATGTTGCTCACCGTTATGTGTGCACAGAGCCTGGGCCCTAATAGAGGATGAATAAGTATTTATTAAATGAACAAAGAGTAATTAGAAAACAAAGATCACACTATTTCTGATGGACTCATTTTTTTTATCTTTTTGTTTGAACGTTTTAGAAATACAACAGATCACTCCAATGTGCTTGAAAAATCCAGAATTTACCCTAACTGAACCTTTATTTTATTCCTCATACAACTCTCAAGGACAGTGTGATAGCAGAGAAAGAAAGTTAAATGATTCTGATTCCAGATGGATCAAAACGTTGACTCGTTAGTCCGTTCCCGTTACTTAATAATACAGGAAATAAGTGAGGGCTGTGACTCACTGGTCCTCTCAAGGGTAATGGATTTTTCCCAGTGGTTTCTATTTATTTAAGATAAGTCCAAATGAATGTATGTATGTTCCTATATGACTGAATTATTGTGCTGTACACCAGAAATTGACACAACATTGTAAACTGACTATATTTCAATAAAAATATAGATTAAAAAAAGGAAAGTCCAGCTTTTCTTCCAGATGACATGTATAGAAAGTGAAGGATACTTTATATTTCTTTTAAAAATTGATTAAGATTTAAAAAATGAATGGATAAGTCAAGCCTACAAATCCTTAGCAAATAAATGAGTGGAGAATTTCTGACCTTGGTCAAGGATTTTAGCTGGTGTGAATCCAGGTATATGTAGGCCTCTTGTTCTGTCCAGGAACTGCTGGGACTACTCCAAGAGAGTAGGAAGTTACTATCTGACAGAAAGATCAAGTTGGAGGCAAGAGTTCCTTTATTGTTTTGACATTTATATGTTGGTCCACTATTTCAATACAGTCCTAGTACATGGCCCAGCTCTGTCCCATCGACGGGAGACTTGCCAGCATTAATGACAGTCAGCAGCACAAGGAGTTCTGCTGACTGTAACCTTGCCTAATGCTTTGATACCGATTAAATATTTAAAAACAGAAAGGTTCCGTATTTAAAGACAATAAACCGTGCCACTCTGAATTAAAAAAGTTTTAAAGTGTCAGACATCTCTAAGACTTTGGGCTAATCATTCACCCTTAGAATGATCAAAATAAACTAAATTTCTAATTCTGTGCCGCCATCAAGAACATTTGAAGTGGGAAGAACTCCAGGGCAACATTCTTCTTCCCGGCTTTATTCCCAAGGGACCCAATGGATGTATACATGGCCCCCCCAGAGCAGTTGCTCGAAACTGCCTTTGAAGCCCTAGATACTGCCTTTGAAGTTTACTACCAAGATCCAAGGTCTTGACAGACCACATGTGTATTTGGTGCTTGCAGAAAAACCTCTTTCTACTCTTCCTGGAAGAAGTGAAGGAACCACTCAACTTATCTGAAAAAGATTCTACACTTTGGGAATGTTTCTGGCTTACTTCGTGAAGCCTGCCCAGCCCTCCCCATATCTTGCTTCTTCCACTGCCAACATCTTGGAACACAGGCCTCAGAGAGACTACATAGGTGACTTAACTCATCCACTTCATTAATAGTGTTTTATTCAGAATTTCCATTTTAATTTGATTTATCAAATTTTAAAAATGAGTAAAAATGTTTAGATAGTTAATTTCAAATTATAGAAAGGTATGCTGATCAAAACATGGTTCTTTAAAAAAAACTACTTTATTAACATTGTCACCAAAGTGTCATCAGGACATTGAAGGTACAAAAACTCAATAGGTGGTCTTTTCTTGTTCTCCAGTGAAAGAGACTTATTTCTAAGTTCATTACAGAATTCAGTTCAAGATTACTATGGGTCAAAATTCAGCAAGGAGACAAATGACTGGGTTTAAACCACAGAAGAATTGGAGACAGTTGTCTCTCCAAGACATAAATTCTGTATTTTCTTGAAGCCAAAATCTTGCTAAAGTCATGAAATACTGTTAAAAGATAAATGGACAGCCCATCTTATCTATGGTTCAGAAAACACATGGATTGGGCATAGAACACTCAAAAGGAGATAAGAATTTTGTCACTCACTTAATTTCGTCTATACTAAAATGGTTTCTCTGGCAATTTGACCATGTCCCCAATAAAAAAAAAGGCTCATGTTTATACCTGTCTGACTTTAATATATTTCAGGATATGTCATGATTTAAAACAGTGGTTCTTCCTACTTTAAAAAAAAATCATGGCCCACTTGATTGAAGGGGGTTGGAGGGAAGTCTAAAGTTCTAGTCTACCTGCTTGGTTCATTCCTCCTTTTTAATTGAAAAGAACTCAGTGATAAGGAAGAAAAAGAAAAAAAAACAGTTGGTAGTGTGAGCTTATACATATGTGCTATAAAACAATGTCCTCTAAACCAAAAAAAAAATTTATTTCATCACCTTTGTTTTGAGAGTGTGTTACAACTCAGTCTGCACAGATTCAATAGTACACCTACCAACAAGGTGCATGTAAGTAGCCATTTGGTGGAGGTGGGATGAGGTGGTGGTGTATGGGTTGTATACATCTTCTTTACCATTAGTGACATGGATGATTCCTATTTAAACCTCAGTATGCACATATCTTAATAACTAGTTACTTGAAAGACATAAGCTAAAAGCATCATTAATGTAAATAATTCATTAACAAATGATAACCAGATGGTCCTCAATAACCAAAAAAATCCTCAATAAATTAAATTGAAAATGATAAAGCTAAACTTTATAAACATTAATTTATAATTACAAAGCAAAAAAACCCCCAAACAATAGTAAACTGAAAATTGACCATAAGGTTGACGAAGTCCTGAGAATGAAGCACACTAGTTGTTCACATGCATGTGGGTAGCTTTCCAGCACTGCAGATGTTGCCTCAGTCTGACTACTTATAAAATACCTTCTTCCTTAAATTCTAACAATATGCTGAGTTTAGTTTATGAACCTCAAATATTAGTAATTCATAATGACTCACCTATTTAACTAGTAAAAAACATGTAGTTCTTCCTAAAAATGAATGTATATGGAATTGTACGTCTTTGGCAATAAATAGAAGAAAGGTTTTGTACTTTTGGATCAGTTGGAGGCTATCAAAAGGCTCTGTCAGAAGCACCTGGGGCTGTGGAAGCCCAGGTGTAGCAAACGGAAGACAGTTGTGGCCTCTTGGGCTGCAAGTTGAAGGGTTGGTGAACTGCTGAGAGCTAGAAGCCTGCCTAATGGGGCACGTCTGCTCATCCTTCAAGGACCGGGATGCTGCTGAGACATTTCAGTCTCTCATGGGCTTGGAACCAGATGGCCTCCAAGGCTCCTGATGACTCTGGGAGTCACCATTTATGACTGATGGGGAGATAACTGCACTGGCTTCTGCTCAGAGTTTTATTAGCTATACAGTTAATCTCTAGACAGTACTCTTTATATGTTCTGGAGAAAGCGACCACACAGATGACCTGCTGGCTTCTGGGCTTTGTCTCTGAACTATTACTCTAATTCCTTTGTGGTAACTTGTTTTTATATTCATTGTAAATTGGGAGCGAGTTTTAATAGATAAAGCAGAAGTGCTGTTAGCAATCCCTTTCCAGATGACTATCCATCCTTAGTTGGTCCTCTGCAAGGTTCTTCAGGCAAACCCTTAATGAAGATACTTTAATTTTCAATTTTATAGGAGTGTCAAAACTGATCAAAGAGGTGGACAGTTCTATTGTGGTATTCCTGTTGGAATATCTAGGTTATCTTAAAGATCATCTCATGTGTTTGAAAACTACCAAACTTGTCCTTTCCCATATTCATACCTTTTAATAAATACTTTCATTGTTTCTCTTGAAACAGGTATGTTTGGGTTCAAAGATTTGCCACCAATACAACCTTGTTTATCTTAACATAGGTGGTGAAAAAATAACCTACTTTGTAAGGAGCTCTGTGACTTCCTGAACATTCTCTTTTCTGAGAGGGAGTGAGCCAGACTGGAGGACAGCATCTCCCATGGGGCAGGAGAGACGGTGAGTGAGTTATGCGGCGATCCCACATTTTGTAAAACACTGAAAGCTTCTGTCTTTCTGAATCACAATCGATTTTTGGACACAGACTCTGATTTCATCTTGATATCTAAGACAATGGTGAAATTAAATGCTCTCCAAAATCTAGGCAACTGGATCTTTGTCCTTGGGTCTGTGAGATTCCATGAACAAAGTGCTCAGAAAGAGCTCCATTCCGTGAAATATTGGAGTTTTGGAAACACACAAAGCCTGTTTAATTTATATGAACCCCCAATGAGGGAAACATCAAGAGGTTTGAAGTAAAATTTTTCCACGTTATTTCACAGGCCCTGCTTCCTTGCTGAATGTTGCTTGTTTGCTTTTATAAATAATATTTTCTCTAGCTGGCACACTTAAACAGGATCCTTTCAAATAAAGTTCCTGGGACATTGAGCAATTCCGGTCTCTTTCTCAGTTGAAAATAAAGGTTGTATTCTTTCCTCTATCCTTCCCTTTTGAGTGGCTACGAAGAAGTTGTTACTATTGTTCATGTTAAAGAGAAAACTACAGCTGCTAATTTTTTTCTGAAGTGAAGCACCGCTTTCAGCCTTGGTCATGTCCCTGAAGACAGGCTTTTTTAGGTGTTACTGTTATTTCTCAAAGAGCAAGAAGTGGTAATAGAAGTCTGAAGTCTAGGTTTGCTCTCGTTTCTTTCCTGAATGTGTTGTGGTTAGGAGTCCTGCTGCTGGGTGGAGGTGCGCGCTGATGTGACCCCCTCGTTGGCTCATGGTGCTGGGTGGCATGAGGGCTGAGCATTTTGGAAGTGGCCATGATTTCCATCAGCAAAGAAAAATTGGCTAGTTGGCAATTAAAGGTCAAATCAATAATGATTCTTTTGTGTGGGTACAGTTGGAACAGAAAACCTTTCACCAATTTTAATAAAAACTCTGAAGCATGATTGTAAAGGAGCACTGGGTAATCCTATGACCTCCTTGGAACATATAAGAACAACTCTCAGGGTGATCCTCAAGGTCAGAGAGACGATGGAGCTTTGGGGATGGCTCTTTCCAAAGAGGGCATCATGTTCTCATTGGCTGTTTTAGAAGTAAAGCAGAGATTGCAGCAAGGCTGGAGAATAGAATTTATTGGCTAGCATGGGGGAAGAAAGTTGGCCCAGAACAGCTTTGTAGCCTTTAACCCATATGGTGGAGAGAGGCTAGTTCACTAGTAAAATAATTTTCAGTGTGGCAAATTGAACTGGGAAAATGAGTAGAGAGAGGATAGGGACATGTTACAGACATATTAAAATGTGTCTTCCAACAATGTGGTATAAGGGAGACTTCTGGACTATCCCAAGGGCATATGGGTCAACCATGCACTCAGTAATAAAAAGCAGAGAGCCTCCTTCTGACCAAATACCTGGGCAGATGGTAGGGGAAAGGGGTGTGGCTGCAAACAGCCCCAGGCTTTGTCAACATCAACTACCCACAGACTTGAAAAATGGATTTTACCCTTACAAAGTGTGGGAAAAACACCTGTGTGGTCAGATTACCGTCTGCACTCGTACTATCAGTATCCACTCAGGGCACAGGTACGACACAACCATACGCCCTCCTAGACACCTTCAAGAGAGAGGCAGGTTTGCCTGGATTTCTCTCTCACAATGCAGGGCTGATAGGCAAGGTATTTCTCTGGATTGGGGGCACTTCTTGAGGAGCACTGAGAGACACTGGTTCCTTTTTTCCTCGGAAATCTTGCCTTAGCACCTGCACCAAGGATGGTCTCCAGCCTGCAACACAGACCTAGTCTGGCCCTGACACTAGGTGTCATTCACATGCCTGTGGGGCCTGAGGGACCTGCGGCAGCAGCGCCTCATGCTTGAGGACCATGTTCTCTGTCGTGCTTCAGAACTCTTTTGTCTACAGATCTGCAGAGATCTGTGCTCTGAAACCAGCATTGAGCTTTGCTTTTCCTGGAGCCTCTCTGGTAGAATGTCCTTCCCTAGACATTCCCTGAGCTTGTTCCCTCCCGTTACTGCTTTTATATTGTCTCCCTAGTGAGACCGTTCCCTGTCACTCTGTATAAAATAGTCCACTTCTCCTAGGATCTACCCAATTTCCATGCTCTGTTTTTCTCTTATGCCCTTTTGCACCATCTGGCACTTTATACATTTTCTAGTTTATTTGCTTATTTTCTTTCTTGTCCCACTAGAATATAAGTTCCATGAGAGTAGGGATTTTGTCTGTTTTGTTTACTGCTATTTTTTACCACAGTTATATTTGGGAAATAAATGAGTGAGGGTCTTAAGCAAAGCTTGTAACTCTGATCTCTCTGTTTCCTGAAACCCATACACAGTTTGGGCATCAAGACAAACGACAGATGGAAAGAGATTTTTTGCAAAGGATGTAACCTGAATGGGGCCAGGGTCCCACCGTTAAACAGTGTACCCAAGGAGCAAAGTGAAAGCCTCTTTTCTCTGAAAAGGACAAGCAGTTTTCAGTGCTTCCGGATTAGGTGATGTTAGGTGATAAGGCAGGAACCTACCCAGCCCAGAATGTTGTCCCTGGAGTGACAATGGCAAGTTTCTTGTCCTCTGGGGAAAAGAATCAGGACAATTGATTCAGATGTGGCCCTAGAAAATGCCAGAGTCCAATAGTTACTGATCTGTGTCTAGATTTTAATTTCTTTAAATCTTCCCTTTTCTGTCCCTTGATATACATTTTTGAAACCAAGGTAGCCAGGGAGCTTGGGAAACATGCTTCATTTTAGATCTTTAAAGTCACATTATAGGAGTGATCTCCCAGCCTTAAGAAAAGAAAACATTTATTACCATGTTACTGACTCCACCACATCAGATAAAGGCAACTTCCCTATAACCTTAAATATTCCTCTGGAAATAACACGCTGATTGTTTACTCTACCAGAGAGCCACCTGTATTTGTTTGGCAATTGGACTTTAAACATAAGAAGAGTACAGGGCCATGAGCCTGAAGCAGAGTCTTTTACATAATTACGTGGTAACTATCCAACTCCCAGAGTTCTTTTAGGGATAAGAGAGAGTTAGGCACCTCTTGCTCTATATGGAAATTCCTTTTAAGTTTGTCTCCTAGTAGTTGCCTAGTTTGTGTTCCTCCGTGCTTTTCCGTGGTTGCTTAATTTAGAGATGACAGAGGATCCTTACCTGGGATGTGGGCTTAAGCACTTCTGGAAAAGTGGCTCTGCAATTGATATGAGTAGACATGGATTAAACACTTTACAGATACGTCCAGGATCCATTTCAGTAGCTAATGACTTCACCGGAAAACCCAGCACTATAGATTGTCTTCTACTGTGAGTCCCTGATACAGGGCACTAGGATGTTGCTACCTTTCCTCAAATGCAAGAAAGGGAGAAGATGCTCTGACCTAGAAGTCCTAACACTGCCTACTCAGGCTGGTTTCTGAGGAAACACTCAGTGGTATAGCCAGCTGCAAATTAGGTCATGTCTATTGGGCTTTTACTTAACAGTCTTTTCTTAAAGATGACATTCAGGCTCTTCCACTTCTCCCTGCCTCTGCATGGTCTGCTTCCTGTGCCTGGATCTCTCTCATGCTTACCCCATCTTCACTTGGCCAAAGCCTTCTCCCAGTTTAATACTCAGCTCAGGTTTCACCCCATACATGAAGACTTGGCTGGGCGGTCCCCGTCTGCAGCCTGGGTTAGCAGTGCTTCCTCTGAGTTCCCAAAGCAATTTCTGATTACTGCCATGGTATGTGATATGACCTGTGTATGGTTCACCTCTTTCTGATAGCAGTGGTTCTAAATTGTGGTTGTATATCAAAGTGATCCAAGGAGATTTTTGCACTCCAGGCTGATGAAATTAGGGTCTATGCAAGTGGGATCCAGCATTCAGAATTTTTAAAACTCCCAGTTGATTTCAATGTATAGCCGAGGTTGGGAACCACTGCATTAGAGGGCAAAGTCCTAGAGGGTGACGGTGGGCCCTTTCTTCTATCAACCCAGTGCACAAGCTTGTCTGATGCTAAAGTTTTGTTATATTAATAAATTAATACAATTCAAGCTAGAAAATTTTAGACTTTTCATCAAGTTATGTAAGAGATAGCAATTTCTTTTTTCTAGAATGCAAATGGGTTCAGGATAATAAATACAGGTATCATATTTATTAAAAATCATTAAGTCCATTGGTGTTACAGCATTTATTTAGGGGAAACCTATTGTGTTTTTTTCATAAATCATTTTCTGAAGACTCTTCTGATAGTATTCTATACTTTTTAATACATATTTCCTAAGGTAAAATGATGAATTTGAGGAATTGTGGATTTGTATGAATGCTTCTGCAGTGTTATGGTTTAGGAGATTATACATGTGAGACCCAGATACAGTGCTTATCAAAGTTGGTTTATAGACTGACTGTATCCAAAGTAAAATACATGTTTTCTAGACTCCAGCCCAGACCTACATTTAGAGTCTTTGGTAGAAAAATTGAGAAATCTACTTGCATCTTTTCTCTTTTTTATTGAAATATAATTCATATAATATTAACCCCTTTGAAGTATAAAATTCTGTGGGCTTTAGTATATTCACAAAGTTGTGCAATTATCACCACTGTTCAATTAGAGAAAATTTTCATCAACACAAAAAGAAACCTATACCCATTAACACCCATTTCCCATCCACCAGCAACCACTCCCTCAGGCAAGTAGCAACCACTAATCTACTTTCCATCCTTGTGGATTTGCCTGCTCTGGATGTTTCATATCAGGGAAATCATACACTATGTGGATTTTTGTTTCTGGTTTCTTTCACTTAGTATTTTCAGGATTCATTCATTTCATAGCATGAATCAGTACTTGATTCCTTTTTCTGGCTGAATAATATTCCATTGTTTAGATATACTGCGTTTTTTATCTAGTCATCAGTTGATATGGATATTTGAATTGTTTCCACTTTTTGGCTATTATAAATAATGCTGCTATGAATGCTTGTGTACAAGTTTTTCTGTGGATATGTTTTTAGTTCTCTCA